AGTCGCTACTCGCCAAAATAGGAGGTAGAACAATGTTTTGTGTAGTATGTTATGCCAATTGAGCTTGATGTCCCCTGTGACTATGGTCCCGAGCCCACAGGTTCAACTACTTGGTCCCTCTGGGTAGCTGGCTGTGACCAAGAAGTGACTACAACCTTGTCCCTTGTCAGCTCTACTATATACCTGGGAATTGAGATCATAGAAATAAACTTACAGGACCACTGTGAATCATAGATATTTTGTTGTTAGATGCTGTTGAGTTGGCTCCAACTCATAACGACCCCATGTACAGCAGAATGAAACACTGCCTGGTTCTGTGCCAGCCTCACAATCATTGCTGTACCTGAGCCCATTGTTGCAGACACTGTTTCAATCCATCTTGTCAGTGTCCTCCTTTTTCGCTGACCCTCCACTTTAGCAAGCATGATACTCTTCTCCAGGGAATGGTCTCTTCTGACAACATGACTGAAGTAGGTGAGATGAATATTTAGATAGTTAGAGGGTGCTTATTAGCCCAGTGGTGGAAAGGGAGAGAAGTGGGCTAGGTGGGAACTGTGGCCAGCTGGAACATGGGGACCTTGTCCAAAGCTAGCTGCCCCCCAGCTCCTGCTGATGGTTGTAAAGTGGAGAGTAGACCCAGCAATGCCAGCTTTTTAGACTTTTCAAGAGAAGCTTGCGATTAAAATTTTTATATGAAATTTCCTAATTTTAAATGTTCAAAATGGACAGAAAGCAAACAAAGAAAAAACATGATCTAAAATAATAGCCACAAATCAAATGTGGGCTGGATTGATTTGTTTCCAGTCTCTAATTTTATTTACTTTAATCATGTTAGAGATTGGGAATTGAGACTCTAGGCAATAACTTTTCCAAATGTTAAGTAACTGGCCAGTGGTCAGATCAGGACTTGAGTTGAGTTCTCTTTTATAAACTCTAACAGCTAGTTGAAGTTTATTTTTGGGCAGATACATCTGCTCTGGTTATGTAATCTTGTGTCTGTCTGTTTGAGACATTTCCTTAAGAAAATACAGGCGTAGATTTTATCTTAAAAAAGTAATTATAAAAATATCTCCCAGGCTGGATTGCTTTGTGGTTAAATTCAGGAACTTTAGAACCACGTTGCCTCAACTCCAGGTCTTACCACCTGTGTGATGCTAGACAAGTCATTTAATTTCTTCACACCTCAATTTTCTCATCGGAAAATGGAGAAGATGAATGTATTTATCTCACAGAATTAAAGGTGATATTTGTATAAAGCACTTAGAATAGGGGTTAGTACACAGGAATTGCAGTTTGTGTGTTATCCATGTTGATGATGATGATGGTGAGGTGTGGTGGTGGAGGCAGTGATGGTGGCAGTGAGGATAGTACTGATGGTAGTGATGGCAGTGGTGATGTTGGTAGTGGTGGTGGTGATGAAGAAGATGAGAAAACTTGCTAATAAGACGGTAAAGCAGGGATGATTCATATGATTAAAGAATTCTCTGGTTTACAGATGAGTAACATTCACAATGGCTTTAAGTGACATTCTCCATCTTGTACAAAAATGGGACTTCCAAAGGCCCTGGGAACTTGCCTGTTACGTAAAAGCAAAGTACCTTTATTTCTCTTTACTTGTACCTCAGTCTTTTCAACAACTGATATTGTTTGTGTTCTTGTGTTCAGCCTGAGAGGCCCACAGATGAAGGAGTCTCTTCTGTTGTTATGAAACCTTAGCTAGTTTAGAACTCCACATAACCTACTGCTCCTCTTTGGTGCATCCTGCTGACGCGAGCCCATTTGTATCCTCAGGACTGGAATGTCACATGGTACACCAGCAATCCTGACTTCACCAAGTGCTTTCAGAATACCGCCCTTGTGTGGGTGCCTTGTTTTTACCTCTGGGCCTGCTTCCCCTTCTATTTCCTCTATCTCTCCCAGCATGACCGGGGCTACATTCAGATGACACATCTCAACAAAGCCAAAACCGTAAGTCTTTTGGATTCATTATGGTGGCTATGTGTGTACCTGGGTGGGTATGTCTGGTGGTTGAAAATGAACATCTGCTTCACCTCCATTGGCCCTAAGTTCCTTTCTCTAGAAGGCAGAATAAGAATGTGGTAGGTAGCAACTGGGTGCAAAAAGGGTGTGGTGGCAACTTCCTCTGACCTCCTGTAACTTCACAAAGGGGAAGGAAGATCCAGAGCAACATCAGCAGTTCAAGACTGATTACTATGGGAGGGAGGTCAGACTTGCCGCCACCTTGCAACCCTGGGCAGCCGCCGCTCTGTCTCGTGCCCATCTCGCTTTTGTTGCCTCTGCCGGCTCTCTTCCCTCTGCCATCTCAACAATGAGTTACAGTTCACCCTGTCTGTCTCCTGGGTCAAAGGGGTCCAATACAGAGCTGTTGGGTCCAAGGACACACTCGCTCCTGGCTCTTCTTTCTTGATGCTAGTGAGACCCCCCCATTCCACCTCTGGGAGGGCTCATTTAACCCTACTGGAATGACAAAAGTAACCAGTCCCCATGTCAGGATTCCATACATCTTATTGCCATGGTCCTACCCCCACAAGGGTAACAAGTACCTTATTTACATTATTAGCAAGCTATCCAGTCCCACCAAGCACCTCACATTTACATAGTTCCCTACAGTCATCTGGTGGGAGTCACAGAGACCATGGCTAGAAGAGCCGTATTAAGGAATTCACTGCACCACACTGGGGCTCTGGAGTCAGAGGTGGGTTCAGACATCACCTGTGCCACACATTTCTTAACCTCCCTGAGTCTCAGTTTCCCAGTTTGTGCAATGAGGATGATAGGATCTATCTCAAGGAGTTATCAGAAGGTCTTCCTTTCTTACCAAGGATACCTTCTTTTAAAATGTAAACCAAAATTTGCCCTTGTCTGGCTCAAACCCCTTGATAATTTCCTACCACATCAGAAAGTACTACAGCATGGTGTGGCTCCAGGTTCCTCTCCAACCTTCTAGTCCTTCCATTCCCCTTGCACATTCCACAGCAGCCACATCAGCCTTCTTGGCTACTTCTCAGACCCACCAAGTGTGTTCCCACCTCAGGGGCTTTGCAGTTGCTATTCCCTCTACTTGGACAATTCTCCCCACATACTCACTTCTTTCGGCTCTTAACTGAGATGTCATCTGGTCACAGAGGCCTTCCCTGACCTTCCTTATCGATGCCTCTTTATCCCCTTATCTGTTTTATTTTTCCTCATAGCATTCATTACTACCTGTTGTTGTATTATATATTTTTCAGTTTGTTTCTTGCGTGCTTCCTTCCATTAGGATGTCAGTTCCATGGAGGAAGGGCCTTTGGTCTGTTTTGTTCACTGTTGTATCCCCAGCACCTTGAAAAGTATGTAGTACATGGTAGGCCCTTCGTAAATACTGGTCAGATGAATGCAGTTGAATGAATGGTTATTGTGTGGGGGCCTTACGCAAGGTGCTGGGGCTGCAGTTTATGGATAAACTGTCGGCTGAGGGAGCTCTTCGGTGACTAGATAGACTTGTGCTGGGAGTGGAAGAAGGTAGTAAGCTGGTTACAGACCGAAGTGTGATGGCCTGGGTAGGGGCTCACCTTACCTAGGACTTAATTTGTGTTCCGGAGCACTGCTTCCCAGATAACGGCTGATGGTCTAGGATTGGTTGGATATGTGGGGCTGAGCTTTGTGTGCGGTGCTGGGGGATTTTGATGCTGTTGTTGCTAAAACATTCATGTGCTTCTCTTCCAGGCCTTAGGGTTTTTGCTGTGGATTGTCTGTTGGGCAGACCTCTTCTACTCTTTCTGGGAAAGAAGTGGAGGTGTGTTCCTGGCCCCCATGTTTCTGGTCAGTCCAACCCTTTTGGGCATTACCATGGTAAGTGTGAGCTGGGTGTGAAGCCTTCAACTGTATGCCAAATATGTGGAGACCAAAAATAGTAGCTGGTATTCAGTAATGAGAAGATCTCCTAGTAGAAATCCAGAAATCTGGCTTCTCTTAAAAACAACTGGAAAAATAACAATGAACTAAAAAAATAAAAAACCAAAAAACCAAACTCAACTGCTGTCAAGTCAGATCTGACTCATGGTGACCCCTCCTTGGGTTTCCAAGGCGGTATTACTGCAGAAGTAGATTGCCTAGTCTTCCTTCCGAGGAGTGGCTGGTGGGTTTGAACCTTCAGTCTTCTGGTTAGCAGTCAAATGTCTTAGGCACTACGCCACCAGAGCTCCCTATATAAAGTTAAGGGTTGGTTTTTCCATTTCTGTAATGAAGGCTGTTGGAATATTGATCAGGATTACATCAAAGCTATAGATTGCTTTGGGTACTATTGACATCTTAACAATATTAAGTCTTCCAACCTGTGAACATGGAACATCATTCGATTTATTTCAGTCATCTTTAATCTCTTTCAGCAGTATTTTATAATTTCCCTAGGGTTTTCAATGACTGATTTTTTAGAAGTGGGTCTCTGGGCTTTCCTTCTGAGACACTTCTGGGTGAGCCCAACCTCTAGCCTCTCAGGTAGCAGCTGAGTGCCTTTGCACCACCTGTGTGCACCACTCAGGGCTTCCTAAACGAGTCGCCATTGAGTTGATTCTGACTCATGGGCACTGCCTGT